CTAATTTAACTGTTAATTGACTTTTTTTTTCCTTCAAAAATATTTTAATTAATATTACTGTATTCGCTGCTAAATCACTGTCTCCAGCAGTTATTTAACTTTCGGAGACAGTAATTTAACTGTTAATTGACTTTTTTTATAAATATTTTAATTAATATTACTGCATTCGTTGCAGTTATTTAACTTTCGGAGACAGTAATTTAACTGTTAATTGACTTTTTTTATAAATATTTTAATTAATATTACTGCATTCGTTGCTAAATTACTGTCTCCAGCAGTTATTTAACTGTCGGAGACACTAATTTAAATGTTAATTGACTTTTTTATTCTTAAAAAAATATTTTTAGTTAATATTACTGTATTCGTTGCTAAATTACCGTCTACAATAGTTATTTAACTGTCGGAGACAGTAATTTAACTGTTAATTGACTTATTTTTTTTGAAATTGTTTTTCTTAAAAAAATATTTTAATTAATATTACTGCTATGGCTGCTAAATTACTATCTCCAATAGTAATTTAAGTGTCTTAGACAATAATATTAATACTATTATTGTTCGGGAAAATAATATTCATAATATTATTGTCCCAAATAGTAATATTACTGTCTGAGACAGTAATTTAGTAGCCAAGACGGTAATAGTAATTAAAATATTTTTTCTAAGAAAATAAAATTTGAAAAAAATAAAAAGTCAACGCCGGAGACCGGCGGTCAACGATGGTTGATCGGCCGGAAAACAATTTCAGGAAAAAAAAAAGTCAACGCCAGAATCTGGCCGGAAAAAAAATTCAAAAAAAAATTATTTTCTGAAAAAAAAATATTTTGGGGGTTAATGTGATTTATTTGTTTAAATCCGGGGTCAATGTGTAATATTAAGGAAGTTAGAGCATAATGGATGGAATTGATAAGAATTATATTATGGAGGGTATTTTAGACTAAAGACATGTGGATGGGTTTAATTGAGAGACTGTTTTTTTTTTGTGGACCAATGTGCATTTAAGTCCCATGTGATGGGCCTTTTTGC